AGAAATGGAAAACTGGATGTCTCTGAACAAATACGTCTAAGGAGAACGAAGCCACTGCCATCCAACCCCAGCACAGCCTTCAGCGAGTGCTCTTGGGAGGCCTAAGAGCAGAATATATGCCCAAGGCAAGAATGTCACCCCAAGGTGCCCGGGTCTCCTGCCCTCACATTGTATCCCAGGCCCCAGTCCTCTGCTTGGGCGATTCTCCAAGCTGCAAATGCCCCCAGCCAATTCTACTTCCTCAACCCATCACAGGCTCTCTGTTTAAGGACCTTCCTACCAGTAGAGGTTAAGAGGAAAGCATAGGAATGAAAGAATTCAGACCAATAGGTGGGTGATGGTAGACTCTCAGGGCTACTTGTAGCTGAAAAGAGAAGCCCCTTTTTCAGGCAAACACCACAGTGCAGATAGACTTCAAATGCTGAGGGGCAAGGTGCCAGGCCAGCTGTGTGGAGCTGCATTCCAGCCAAGTGATTGAATACCTGCTTTCATGCGGTTTTGTGGAGCTGCCGCAGTCTTCCCCCTCTGCAGAGTATACCCGTTTCTTCCGGTCGCCACGAAAGGTCATGCAAAAAGAGATTCTTCAGTTCTGGCACTACATATTTAATATCAATTCTTTGTACTTGAGCCTGCAATGTATGGACATGCATATTCTATCAGCCTTGAAAATAGCTTCTTAAGCACTGGAGCCCTGAAGGAAACTTTTCAGTTAAAGATCCTCTCTTCGCCAACTGCCAAATAAACAATTTTATTATTCAACCCATGGATCCATGAACTAAACCCTGGCCTTCCCGAGTAGCCCCTGTCATCTGCTTTTTTATTTTTTGTGCATGACACCCTGGATCTGCGCATCCGCTTGCTGCAGGAGCCCTTGGATTCCCCAACAGCCTCGGGCTCTGTAGGAGCCACCCCTAGGAGGCAAGGGCAAGGCCAAGTCAATCAGGCTGCTTCCCCAGCTTTACAATTTGATATTTGTTGGGCCTGCAAGTGTTCCTTTCTAGGCCATTTTCAGGTCTGAATTGCATATGGGCCATAAAATCTTTTGTAAAAGGAAATGGATCAACCAGCTTTGTTGAGACTCATTCTGTTTCTGGAGTCTTGATGATGAAAGACTTAATTAGTGCTGGAATAAAGAAATGGTCAGTCTCATTAAGTTAACAGCAGTATTTATTAATACAAACATATTGCACTTGAAAAATCCAACTTTAATATCCTGTCTGAGTAAATACACTTATTTTTCTTCAAGCTTCCATCAGTAAGCCTTCATGTATGGCCATGATGTCGTGAGATCAATTATACAAAGTACTCTTGACAGGCTCATTATTTTCTTGCCATATTCTGGCCTGCATAAGGAGCAAACTTGCTTTAGGATGTTCAGAGAGACATTGTTCTCTTCCATTTCCAGGCCAAACCCCAGCTACCATGACTTAATGCTTCAGAGCTACATTTCATACAAATACATTCTTGTATTCTGAAACTCCTCTGTGGTCACACCCACCATCTTTGGAGTCTGAATTTATTCACACACTCTGTTCCTTCACAGAAGGAGCTAGCAACTCCAAAGCACTTCCACTGAAGCCTTTGAGGGAAGACTTCAAGTCTCTGGCACCTGCGGAAGAAGGGAATCTTGAGAAGTAGCTGACACTCCTTAGAGTTTACATGTCTCCTTAGTAAGATTTCTTACAGCAGAACATGACGTTCTTCCCACCCTCAGGATCCAAACCACTTTACAAGAGAGTTATACTTTGCTCTGAGTGGCCAAATATCACAAGCACCACTTGCTTTTAAAATTATGTAGCCCTGGCATTCCAAAGCCAATGTGCACCACCATACAAGAACAGATGTGGTCTCTGAAGGCACAGGCCCCAGGCAGTGCTTAGGTCCCAAAAAAGAGTTGTCAAGTCATTCTCAACTTGAGATGTTTGCTTGGCAAGCATTTTTTTCCCCTCTGGAGGAAATTTTGTTTACAGGATTTAACAAGTAAACACACACACACACACACACACACACACACACACACACACTCTCATTGTTCAGCTGCAGAACAAAGGCCAGCTGTCGGCACATAGTAGTTTTCCAATTCCTGATCCTTTCTGATTTCTCACTGTGCCCATCAGCAGACATGTAATTCTATCTTAAGGTAGCAAGGTGCAAAGCATGATACTATAGGCAGAAATCTTGTAAATAACTATCAAACAGAAGGAATCTGTTCAGCCGACAAGGGAAAGCCTCCTTTGTTCAATTTTGATGACATTTATATAACTTTTAGTATGCATTTTCAGTCAGTAACATTATTTTGTTAAGGCAGTTGATATAGGTGCCAAAATCCTTTGCATACTGGGAGAGAGCTTACCTTTTGTGTGTGGGTTTTGGAGACAAAAGTTGCACTGAAGTGTGTGGCTCTTGTAAACTATACAAGGGACCAAGTCAATTCCGTTTGAGATAATGGAGCAGTGGATTTTCATGTCCAACCCCTTTAATTCATAGGTTTAATTCAATTGAGACCCAGAAGTGATTAGCCCAAGTTTACACAGGTACTTAATAGCTGAGCAGGGTTTAGAACTTCCTTTCCACAGACAAATTTTACCTAGAGTTTGCAATTATTTCCCATGATAAGCTGGAAAATTGGAATTCCTTTCCATTACCTGTAGTACTTTTGCCATAGCAAGTCTTAGAACAAAAGAAAAGGCAATAGGTTTTTATGGCTGGGTGCAGGGGCTCACACTTGTAATCCCAGCACTTTGGGAGCCCAGGGTGGGAGGATTGCTTGAGGCCAGGAGTTTGAGACCAGCCTCGGCAACACGGTGAAACCCCATCCCTACAAAAAAAAACCAAAAAACAAAAAACAAAAATTAGCTGGGCATGGTGGCACGCACCTGTAGTTCCAGCTACTCAGGTTAAGGCAGGAAGATCTCTTGCGCCCAGGAGGTTGAGGCTGCAGTGAGCTATGATCATGCCACTGCATTCCAGCCTGAGTGACAGAACAAGGCCCTATCTCAAAAACAACAAAAAAAGGAAAAAGAACCTTATGATATAGTCCTGACCAGAAATTGGACTTAAGTATTTTAAAAGCCATATATATTATGGGTTGAAAAAAATTATTAAAGTGGACATTTTCTTTTTTAAATAATATTAAAAAGCTATGTACAATGTATTAAATATAAGTCAACATTTGATTATTCCTAAGATGAAATTCCAGAAACAAGTTGTCCAGGCAGAAAAGGCGGGCTTAGAATTTGTGGAATATCTCTCATAATTGTGATCACTGGAAACAAATAGAAATGTAACAAATAAGCCACTATTCCTGTTGTTTCCCTTGTCTGTTTCTCCCAGCTTTATTCACTTAGAAATTTAATTTTGCCTGGTCTGACAGGCCCAGGAAGGAGCCAGGTGGAGGGAGGGTGGAAGCCTCTGGGGTTTGCCTTTAAGGAACAATGACAATGCTGTCTACTGAAAACCACTTCCAAACGGCTTTCAAAGCCCAAGAGTTTGTTTAGAGAAAGTCTTGCCGGCATTGATGGATTTCTCCTCCTCTGTCAGTTCACAGGAAAGAGTGTAGTATAAAGAATTAAGTGATTCATTCCAAACATCTGATGGGTTCCCTTCAAGTACTCCCCCTCTGATCCACTTCTTATGGTTGTGTTGAGCCTCCCCATCTGTGATGAGGTCATTTTGTCGGGCACACAAAGGATTCTAGGGGGAATATGCATCATATACCGCAGCTATTCACAGCATTCATTCCTCCTGGCTGCTCACGGTAACAATGAACCTTCTCAGCATTACATGTGCTTACTGAGGAGACAGGGGTTAGAGCCTTTCAGTGGAACCCCCTGAGGCACACAATGCATTTATTATAATGTCCTGGCCCTAAGAAGGGCCTGGGAACAGCTTGGAGTGGTCTATAATTAAGTACATTTAATAATAAATGCACACACTTCTTAGGTATTGCAAGATGTGAAAATAAGCTCTTATCTTCTCAATCTCAATTTCCCTTCCTCATCATCTTTCCCCTTCACAAATCAGAAAAGTCAGGATTTCTGTGCTTTTTAAAAAATAACAATTGCAGAGGAGGTCTGGCTGGTAGAGAAGGGTAAATTAAATTACTTGAGAACATTCTTTCCATGTCAAAAAAATGGCTTCTGCTTCCTCAGGTAGTTACGCATGGGGAGGATTTGTTAAAGACTGGCTGTGCCTTTAATCTCCCTTGGATTCCACTTCCAAAGGCTTTCAGGGGCAGTGACCCGCTAGCTAAGGGGCATCCCTTGGGGTTAAGCTGCCGCTTGGAAGGGCACTTCCTCAGATCGCTGCCATGCCTAGCAGGGAAGGAGCAGTTAGAAGTGTTCCCCCGACAGTGTCCCATGTCTTTGGTCCCCACACCTCTGAGTGCTCGAATATGGGCAGACAGACTTTCTGAGTAAAGGGAGAGGAAGAGAGCTCTGTGAATGTGGACAGGGAGAAGTTGCACTGGAGGAGAAGAGAAAAAGGCAGCAGGAGTGTGACATGTACATTTGTGAGACACAGCAAGAGGCGTGGGACTGTGAGGGACACACAGGCATTAAGAGGCCAGGAGGCTGGAGGCCCAGCTTTGACCTTGCCTGGCTGTGAGTGTGGCCAATTTTCTTGAAGTTCTATATGCCTCAGTTTCTTTACTTGTGAAATGAGGATGTTAATGGTACCATGAATACTTAGTAAAAGGTCTAGTAACAGGAATCTGAACAGGGAAAGTGACTTAAGTTCTCTGAGCCTCACTTTCTTTATCTGGAAAATAAGGTTGAAAATACCCCTGTTACATGCATACTTGTGAGGATGAATGAAACAACGTATGAAATCCCTTAGCATATTCCTGGTACATAGTAAATAATCAGTAAGTGCTAGCTGCTGTTGTGGTGACTGCAATTACATTTTAAAAGACACATATTGGATTGAAATTGTTTGCATCATTGGATTGTTCAATACATGGAGCAGGCATCCATGCAAGAAAGTCATGCAAACTCACTAGCTAGTAACACACTGGAAATCAAATTGCTTTTATTTATTTGATAGTTAAAGATAGGGAGAGGAGGTGATGGAACAAATGGGTATTAGCTTTTCTTCTCTCCTATAATTAAAATGAAATTATGAACCTGTATAATTTCAATATATATAGATGAATAGGATAATATTAGTAATAAGACTATTATTAATAGTCTAACTTAAGACCAGTTTTTTCTACTCATTGGTGCCCTAACGTTTCTTACTTTGCTATCAATGATGAAGAGGAGTTTTTAAGTTATATGGTTAAACATATAACGACTTCTGCTGAAGCATTTGATTTTAAACAAAGTGATATTGAGCCTACTGATTAAATAAAGGTTGGTCTAAGAGTGTGTGGGAATAAGGTACATTTTGAAAGAAAAAAAAAGAGGTTTTTAAAAAAAGTTGTTTTCTTTCTTTTTGTTTGTTTGTTATAGCTAAAGAAATCTCCAATCACCATTCACTTCAAATATACCACCTTGATTTTACTTTTTTTACTTTGCTTTAGGTAATTTTTATATGAATATTCTCAATAAATAATTTTCTTATAAGCATTTATTATTTTGAGCATTACAGTTTGGGCCCCAAAATGGAGTACTGTGAATTTTTGAGAGAAGAACAAGAAGAAACAGGAAGCCTAATGCAGGACATCTTTCTCCTCCCACTCTAGCAGCAAGGAGAAGAGGACATTTGCACTTTATTGTTTCAGAGGCTTTTAAAAGTTACATGGAAAGGCAAGCACTCCAAGGATCTTCTGATTGCTTCCGGCTTTGGCCAGGAAAATGAAGTTATTGAGAACAGCCAACCTTTCATAAAATACTGCTATTGGATGGACTTTTTGGTGGGTTAAATATTATAAAATCATTGTATTCTGGTCAATACAGAGCAGGGAGAAAAAAATAATTATTGGATAGGAGCATTTTGGTGAGTTTTGCACAGACTTGGCATCTTACGTCAGAATGTGATATCAAAGGCTCAATTTGATGGGGTTGCTTTTCTTATCTTAGGTGACCAGATGATGTGTTAAGGCAAAAGCAAAGTATTTTTTCCTCCTTAGGTTTTTGGAAACAGACCAAACACATAGTTCTCAAGACCACCTTCCTTTAACCCCAACCTTTGATAAAGTGCAGGTCAACTCGCTTCACCTAATGACTTCTAAATTCATTAATGGAGTATCTTTCCATGTTCAAGGTTTCTTCTGGCTGCTTTTCTGAATTCTCATATCTGAGCAAGTGTAGGAAGTCCCAGGAATGCCAGAATCATCCAGTCATTGCATGGGTTCACTTCATCCATATCTTCTTTTTTTCAGAACACTCTTTATTCTTGTCTTATTTCAAATCCTGGTGTCATCAGGGTGATGAAGGGCACTTCTTAGACACTCGATAACATGGTGGAGGTAAAGATCTGTTGTAAAATCTGAGGAATGTCCTTGGTATCCATGGCAACAAAAGACCGACCAGCTGGTAAAGTTCTCTGAAGCCTGCCAGGATGGAAACGGAAAGGAAGTTACCATTGTAAATGGGGCTCCCCTTCCTCCTCCTGCCCTGGCAAAACACAGGCTCCTAATCGTTTCTTAGGAAAGGAAGTTTTTACTTTCTAATATCTTGCTCTCTTCCTACCATTGAATTTGCTGTCGTCATTAAGCAGTGAAAGGCTTGGAAGAGTAACAAGGAAAGCACAGCAAAAGCAGTGAACTGAAAGAAAGGTCTTTTCAGTGAGACAGTCAGTGAATTTGAAAGGAAAAATTTTCTTCCTTTCATTTCTGCCATTTCTTGATATTTCATATTCCCTTAGTAGAACAGAGCCCTAGGGATTCATCTGGGATCAGCTCACCTCCTGGGTCTAGCAAATATGTTGACCTCACACTGTATTTCTAAGTACTTTACCTTCCTTAGAAAACAGGCCTCCAAAAAAATTGCCCAGCCAAACCCTGAGTGGTTCTTTCTCCCTTTCTTTGCCTCTCTCTCTTTTTTTTGGTCTACATCACACAATATGAAGTGCGATCTGGATTATCCAATTGCTACTTCAATGACACTGAGGTTATACAGGCTTATGAAATTTTTTCCAACTCATTTTTAAGTGAATTTTTAAAAACTTATAACAGGTTTTGATTTGAATTATCCTTAAAAATAACATGTCATTGAAGTTATAATTTTTTGAATACTAATTTACCAGTTGGAACAAAAGGCCATTTTGAAGGCAATAAAACTGCAAGACACAGTTCTCTTCAAAAGAACGCCTCCTTTCACCATGCCAGTGAAGTCTGGCTTTGGAATGACATTTAATAAAATTCAATCATCCTGTGTAGTATCGTATATTTGGCATGCTTGGTAAGCCAGCTAATTCTGCAACATATCTGTTGCCAGTGGATGTTGGACCATTTCCCTAGGAAACCACAAGGGTATTATTGTGCTTTCTTAAGTATTCAAACAGGATCTGTTCACTAGAAAGACAAAATAGTCATTTCATCTCAACCAGTATTTGTGGAGCTTGTTGTCTGCCTAATACTGGGCTGATGCTGAGGAAAATCTGGGTGGAAAAGGCATAGTTTGTGTTTGAGGATATGGAGGTTCTCAAAGATGCAAAGCACTAACTCATAAAAACTAAGAAGAATGCAAAGTCATGGCATAAAATGACTGTTCTTAACCTTACTCTGCAGCCTTGAAGCAAGACAAAGGGAACAGAGAGAAAAGTGCTAGCATTCTGGATACGAAAACATTTCCAATCTATATAGGACTCTACACCACAGAGCAAGACAGGTAAAAAGGGTGGAATAACAAAAAGGTAGGCCCTTTGTGCTTTAGGCAGGGATTTTTTTTTTTTTTCAAAGATTTACTTTCACTGGTGCTTTGTGCTTCTTACAGGTATTTTAAACACAGAAAAACCATGAACTCTTTCTGTTTGTAATTCAAAAAGATACATGTTAGTGTGTTCAAGTTATGAAAGTGTTTCCAGATCTCTCCTTTCAGATCATACCCACTGGTATTTATTGTCTGATAAAAAGATTTTCTATTGAATATTCAGTATATTCAGTATAGTATCTAACTATATATATATTATCTTATGTTGTTGCCAAGTGTTTCACCTGCCTTGTCTCTCCACCAGTAAGAATACACGTGAGTGTGTCTATTTATATATATATATATAGGCATACATATAAGGTAGGAGATGTCTCTATGGGAATATAATACATATATGTGTGTATATATATGTCTACATAGGTATAGACATTCATACACACAAACACACACATCTCCTATGCTAGGAAAATAGTAGAGGTTCACTATTTTTAATATGATTTGAACACAAAATGATTAGTCCGAGCTTAGGGCCTTGTGCCAAATGTGTAAATACTACCCAATTTATTACTGGCAAATCAATTTGTTAATTATTTATTATTGGCTTAAATATGAACTAAAAATAATTAATTTAAAATTATTATTGTTCATCTGAACAAAAGCTAGAACCTAACTAGATAGCTCAATAGATTATAGTCCTTGAGGGTAGCAACTCTCGTTTCTGTTTGTCCTCCGTCTCCCTCACTGTTCCTCACTCAGCACCTCATGGTACTTTGCCTATAAAATAAGCATGTGTTAGTTACTCAGTATCTCTGTACCTGTCCTTTTCTGTATACTCAGATGACACTTACCTGGTTGCTTGATCACCTAAAGATCCAATAAAAATGGCAAAAGCATTTACTTGAGGGTCTCTTGTGAGGATTTGAGCAAACTTAGCAGGATGTATTCCATATCGTGACAGATTTGCGTCACTCAAGACTATGACAAAGTACTCATCAGCCTCTTCTTTGACAATTTCCTTGATAGCATGTTCTGTCCCTTCTAATGTGTGGTCCCCACTCATGCAGAACTGAGAGTGGGCATGCATTGTCTGGAGGCAAGAGAAGTCACACAAAAGCCATGGATGAGAAACTTCTTTTTTAACAAATATGATTATTTTCCTATTGACCATGAGAATGCATACATACCAATTATTACCCATGAGTAGTAAGTTCTAAGTTAGTTCTATTTAATTTGCATGTTTGAGTGAAAACAGTATACAGTGATATTTGTATCTGGCATCGAATTTCATTAGACATAGAAATCATTCCAAAATTATCACAGTAGGTACTTGGTTTTAAAATGCAAGCTTCCACTTCAAGTGAGAAAATATAAGAAAATATAAAACTTGGTATCACATTGGAGGATGAAGATGACAAAGGAGGAAAAAAAGGAATGGGTTGAGTTTCCAATAAACAAAGTTATAATACTAAAACATTGTATTCACGTCAACAGCAATGGAGGAAATTTACTTAAAATCGTGATGGATAGGTTTCTATTGGAGACTTATGTTTGTGAAATCAAATTCTACATAAAATTGAGGACAGAGAGTACTCTAAAAGCGGTCATTCTGCTCAACAATGACATGACTCTGTACCTAGAAAACCCTAAAATCTGATCAATGAATTCAGTAAAGTCTCAGGTTACAAAATCAATATACACAAATCAGTAGCACTGCTATATGCCAACAATGACCAAGCTGAGAATCAAGCCAATAACTAAATCTCTTTTACAATAGCTGCACACACACAAAACCCTAGGAACATGCTTAACTAAGGAGGTGAAAGAACTCTACAAGGAAAACTACAAAACACTGATGAAAGAAATTATAGATGACACAAACAAATGAAAACATCCCATGCTCCTAGATGAGGAGAATCAATATCTACAGGTTCAATGTAATTCCCTTCAAAATACCATCATTATTTTTGAGAAAACAATCCTAAAATTCATGTGGAACCAAAAAAGATCCCAGATAGCCACAGAAATACTAAGCAAAAGGAACAAATCTGGAGTCATCACATTACCGGACTTTAAATTATACTAAGGCTATAGTTACCAAAACAGCATGGTACTGGCATAAAAATGGGCATGTAGCCCAATGAAACAGAATAGAGAACCCAGAAATAAAGTCAAATACTTACAGCCAATTGATCTTTGACAAAGCATACAAAAACATAAATTGAGGAAAGGACACCCTATTCAATAAATGTTGTTGGGAAAGCTGGCAAGCCACATGTAGAAGAATGAAACTGGATCTTCACCTCTCATCTTATACAAAATCAACTCAAGATGAATCAAACACTTAAATCTAAGACCTGAAACCATAAAAATTTTAGAAGATAACATTGGGAAAACTCTTCTGGACATTGGCTTAGGCAAACAATTCATGACTAAGATCCCAAAAGCAAATGCAACAAAAACAAAAATTAATAAATGATATCTAATTAAACTAAAAAGCTTCTACACAGCAAAATAAATAATCATCAGAGTAAACAGACAACCCACAGAGTGGGAGAAAATCTTCACCAACTATGCATCTGACAAAAGACTAGTATCCAGAATCTAGAAGGAACTCAAACTAATCAGCAAGAAAAAAAACAAATAATCCCAACAGAAAGTCAGCAAAGGATATGAATAGATATTTCTCAAAAGAATATATGCAAACAGCCAACAAACATGTAAAAATGTTCAATATCACCAATCATCAGGGAAACGCAAATTAAAACCATAATGAGACACCACCTTACTCCTGCAAGAATGGCCAAAAAGGCAAAAAATTGATAGATGCTGGTGTGTATGTGGTGAAAAGAGAACAGTTACACTGCTGGTAGGAATGTAATCTAGTACAACCACTACAGAAAACAGTGTGGAGAGTCCTTAAAGAACAAAAGTAGTTCTAACATTCGATCCAGCAATCCTACTACTGGATATCTACCCAAAGGAAAAGAAGTCATTAATATTAACATGAAAAAGACACATGCACACACATGTTTATAGCAGCACAGATAGCAATTGCAAAGATATGGAACTAACCTAAGTGATCGTCAACCTATAAGTGATAAAGAAAAAGTGATATATATACACCATGGAAAACTATTCAATCATAAAACTGAATAAAATAATGGCATTTGCAGCAACTCAGGTGGAGCTGGAGGTCATTATTCTAAGTGATGTAACTCAGGAATGGAAAACCAAATACTGTTTGTTCTAACTTATAAGTGGGAGCTAAGCTATGAGGATAAAAAACAAACAGTGATATAATGAACTTTTGGGACCAAGGTGGGGGAGGTTCTCAGGGGGATGAGGGATAAAAGACTACATATTGGGTGCAGTATATACTGCTCAGGTGACGGGTATACTGTCTCAAATTTCACAACTAAAGAATTCATAACCTAAAATCACCTGTACCCACAAAACTACTGAAATAAAAAACAAATTTTAAAATGGGTCTTTCTTTTCCTTCTACTGCACATGTAGGGGCTGAAAAGAACCGTATAGGACATATAAGGGGGCCCAGGATGTAGAATCTCAATCTAATAGCAAGTGCTCTAAAAATATGTAGGGAACGAATTTTAAATTCTGTATGGTGGAGAAAATGATTTTAGGTGTGATGGGTGTTTTTTCAGTTCAATGACTGAATGTTTATGAAACAGTCTTTTTCTTTCCTGTATATCTACTATTTCTTCAGTGAATCTTTTTAGTCTTTACCTAATCTGATAGAAGTTTTCATAATACAGAGGTAATAAAATGTATTTACCTTCAGAATTTCTAATCTTTGCTTATTGTCCTTAGGGATTTTGTTAGTTGGAACCAGGCCAATGTTGTAGCCATCTCCAGAGTGTCCAACGATGTCATACTACATGCAAGAGAACCAGAAAGTTACAAACTTTTCTCTATGAAAGAAGAGTCATTAGATCTTTAATGTTCAACTCTTAGGACTGTTATTGTCCAAAGTTGCTCAACATATGGCCATAAAGAAATGCAGTAAGATGAATGTGTGATTAATTCCCTAATCTCATTACGTACATGAGAAACTCCTGTTTATCGAGAAAGGCTAGAGCTAGGAGTCAAGTGCAACCCTTCTACAGAATCTGAAGAAAAAGTCTGGGGTCTGAGGTAAACTATAATTGGGGTGAGGTGGTTCCCTCCAACTTTGAGTTGCATATACCATGTGCAAAATACTGCTCTACGTGTTGTAGAGCGATGCAGTTATTTCTTTTCATGACTGTTCCTTTTAAAATGGTGACTTCTCTGAAGGTGAGGCCACAGCTTATTTCTCTTTGAATTGCTAGAATCTAAGAGAGTGCCCAGCACATGTAAGAGTCTGCAATCAAGTTGGAGCCATAAGAAGCTTTCCCTTTGCATTTGGGCTACGTTCTTCTACAAATAAGCTGTTTGAAGCTGGAATGCAATTTTTCCCCCTCAGCAATCATGGGATAAATGGTGGTTAGCCCATGCTAGCTGACAAAAAACTTTCCATAACATAATTGAAAGTACTGTGTTTTAAATGGAAAGAAACAGAAAAAAATTTGGCTGAAATTGTTATTATGCACAAATAGGAAGTCAGAAAAGGGGTTCCTGGGGAAGACGAGTCCCATTATAGACATGCTGAACTTGTGTCCTGGGAGAGAGATGAGGCTGGGGGTGAAGACCTAGCAGTTCTCCCCAGGAGGGAATAAATGGAGGCCCATATATGATGTCTAAATATGTAAAAGCTACACATCAGGCTACCAACTGTTAAATAAAATATGTCCTCCTACTTTGATAAAATGTACGTTATAATAACCTGGAAAGCCAGGGCCAAATTTCAAATACTTGGGTTCCTGGAAGTTCTGTGCTAGAACATGACCACATGGGTAGTACTGGCCCCTGGCCCATAGCCCATGCCCTTCTCTTCTCATAGCTGGCTCTGTCCCACCACATGAGGTACCTCAAATGCAGGTGTGTGGTCACACAGTGTTCATATCCACACTCCATCACTCCACCATAACCAAGTAACCCCTTGCCCACCTCTCAGACCTTGGGGTGCCCACACCACTGGCCAGTCTGTCCTAGGAAAGAAGCCCACGCAGGACCTGGAAGCAGGCTTGGGGTCATTTGATGAGGGCAGTTCGGGGTCCCAGGTACCAGGAACATGATCTAGAAACAGGCTTTAAAGGCCCTTTAGCCTTATAGACACCTCACCTCATGGGAAGGCATGGTCAGAGGAGGGCCAGAGTGGGACCACGGGAGGGGATGGGAGGGTGGGAGATTATTCTGTGCCTTGTTCAAATGTAAAAGAAGAGTGAAGGAAATTTATCAATGCATTGAACAGGTTGACAATAAATGCTTTCTAACGATATAATACATTCCATATAAGAAAAAAAATTATCCTTAGTATACTTTGCTATTAATAGACTGAAAAGGTACCAAATAAAAACTGAAACCTAAAAGCAGTGAGAATTGCTCAGGGTAGGAAATTTCTGGTTTCAGTATATGCCTGACTAAGGGTTCAGTGGTAGGATTGGCACAGATGTGGAGAGAGCTTGCCTAATCCTTCCATGGAAGCATACTTCAGGGAGCCCTGACTGATTTGACAATGGTCATGGCAGGAACTGTTTGTAGCCAAGAGAGGAAAGTTCTCCTGAGAAGGTGCCAGGCAGGTTGCTTTCATTATGGACTGGTGAAGTAATCTGTTAAACAGGATCTTACACATGAAGTAATAAGATCAGTTCCCTGACATAGAGTTAGGTTTCTCATATTGGGCTGAGGTAAGAGGGCTATGAATGTGTTTGATTTTTCCCCCCTCTTTTAACTGATGGCTAGAGTTCTTTCTAATTAGGTGACAGTGAATGAGACTATAGAAATCTTTGATCATACGGTCTGTCATAGATTCAATGTAACTGGTCAAATAGCAGTCAACAAATACAGTTTTTAGCTGGTCTTTATGAAAACAAGATACTGGCTGATTAAAACCTTCAAAAATATTTTAGCAACCATCCATCACCTGATTGAGTGATTGATATATGGCCAGGAGAAAAAAGTATACTATACTTTTCTATGCAAATGAGACAAAGAAAGGTGGATTGCATAATTCATTTTCTTCCTTCTTCCCTTTCTTTCTTCTTTTTTTCCCTTCCCTTTTCTTTCTCATCTCTTCTTTATTTGTGGTAAGGAAAGTACTATTTGCAGAAAGACCAGCCTTTGTCTGTGCCTCATGAGTACTGCAAAGGCTTGAGAAGACACCTAAGCAACAGGATGGGGCTTATAAAATAGTTTGCAGGACCTGGTTTCTCATCTTCCAGATGCTCTTGAGGATTATTCTGTGCCCAAAGTCAATGAAATGCTTGGGAGGAATCTAAAGTACATCCAAATGTGGACCATTCCCTCGTGTTATTACAGATTATATTAAGCTTCCATTACCAGCAATACTTCTCCACTAAAATTATCTAGTATTTGCTATCCAAGGATTCCAACAGGTTTTACAAACAGTAATTGGCTAATCCTCAAAATTGTTTGGGTTAATGGAAAAGATGCATACTCTCATTCATCTCCATTCCCTAACTCCTAAATCTGCTATTCACCTGATCTGGTTTCTGTGATGATCATTGTGAAATCCAACTTGACAGGGCTTTGAGCATGCTTCCATGGAAGAACGACAGGAATCAATAAACAAGTTCTCCACTGTCATTACCAATGACATTTAGATCAGAACTTTTTCTGAGTAGCTCAAAATTGTTATGATCACAATTTCTCCACTTTTCAGAGCATCCCTGAAAACCCTGTGCAGTCTCACGTTTAGCATTTAACATAAATATTAAACCACAGTAATAAAGAAAAGCCTCAACTGCAGAGGACCAATTTAAATACTTTTTTGCTCTAGAAATCTGTTTAAATGCTCTTTGGGAAGTGTTGTTCACTTAGAGAAAAGTATAACAAATAAAAACAAATGCTGAAATGTTTATCAAAGACACGATTTATCATCAAATAAGAAGGATGATTTGTAATGTTTAGAATGCTTAGAACAAAGTGCGATTAGCATTTTTATGAATAAGATTTATGTGTAAATTTCTATTAGGATGGCCAACCATTTGCTGGCTTTAGGAGCCGCTATGCTTTATTATACAGCCACATTATAAGTAGCTATGAGACAATCATCTAAGGCTATTTACGAAAACTACTTCTAGAAATGTAAATACACTGTTCTCACATGGTGCCACTAACTATGAGCTACAAAGGATCAGAAGATAAACATGTTATTTCAAAAGTCAAGAGAAACGCCAGAGGAACCCTAGTGTTAGTTAGCTAATAACCTAGAGCGTTAGCTGGCTAACCTTTCTTCATATAATGTACGCCAACGTGAAAAGAATAATGTCCTGAAAGGTCAAGGATTCTAGACTTGGCTCTGACGTTAACAAGCTTTTTGACTTACAGCAAATCACTTAACCTCTCTAAACCTTGTTTCTACCTTGTAAACACTGCTGGCCTAGAAAGTTTCTAACACTGTATGCCTGTAAATCACTTTACCTCTCTGACAACATGGGATAAAATCTGTCTTACCACCTCCCAGGGTCATTGAAAGGGTAGGACAATACACTTAATGACTTTGTAGTTTGTTACAGTTTACAAAAGGCTTCCATATATCTCATCTCATTTTGATTTTCTCTACAACCTTTGGGGTAAGTGTTAACCTTATATCACAAATGAAGAAATTGATGCTTAGAGAGACTAACAGACTTTCTTAAGGCCATAGATCTAGGGTTGGTTAAACCCTAGGTGCTCTGATTCTAAATCCATTTTGGTTATTTGTTTTTATTTTTTGGTTTTCTTTTGAGACAGGGTCTTGCTCATTGTTCAGACTGGAATGCACTGGTGCAATCACAGCTAACTGTGGCCTCAACCTCCCGGGCTTAAGCAATCCTCTCATTTCAGCCTTCTGAGTAGCTGGGACCACATGCATGCACTGCCACACGTGGCTAATTTTTGTATTTTTTTTTTTTGTAGAGACAGGGTCTTGCTACGTTGCACATGCTGGTTTTGAACTCCTGGGCTCAAGCAATCCACCTGCCTGGCCTCCCAAAGTGCTGGAATTATAGACATGAGCCCTGTGCTTGGCCCAGTGTTTTCACTATAGAGAAATAACTACTTCCCCAGCTACTTTCCCCTCCCATCTCCACTTAAGTTTTTGAATGGTTGAGTTGGCCAATATTTCCACATCGACAGTTGAATTAATTCTGAATTCTTGTTTAACTTTGAATGGACTCAGAAAAGTATGTACTCCTTCAGTCCAATCTCCATGTAGCAATAAGAATTTATCCACAGCCTAAACTGATAGGATGACTAGTCTCCATTTCTAAACCTGTGAAACATTCCGGAGGTACTGGAAAGAGGTTAATTATAGACACTAAATTAAGTTCTTGATAGAAGAAATTTCCCTGGCAGGTGCTGATTTGTGAGTCATATGTTTTCATTTTCTTCTGGGGGTTAACTCAGCCTTTCCGACCAAGGTATCTTTGAGAAAAGTTTGTCCTTTATACCTCCCTTGGATGGTGAGGTGCCAAGGGTAGGAGAAGACAGAGTACCTTATATAAATAATACATTTGCTCCTGAATCACAGTTTTAAAAAAAACCCCAATTGAACAGAAATAAAATGGCTATAAGAAACAGGGATGAAACATCAACTAAGAGGCCTGAAGTGGAAGTCAGAGGTGCTGGCTTTGCACTGTAACTGTGTGACCTTGGGCAAAGCATTGAAGCTTTTTCAATCTTCATTTTCTCTTCTGTAAAACAAAAAGGTTGGTGAAAATAATTTCCAAGGTCACACCTATCCCCCAAAATTCTGTATAAATTTAATGGTATGTTTAAGAATTGTAATGA